TATATAATTCTTCTTTACAGAAAATTTTTCATACATGCCAATGAATTATGATGCATATTTGTTAATCGATCACCCTGAAGTCAAAGTGCACTCATCCAGAAGGAATTAGATGCCGAACACTTTAAGTCGACTTAAAGCGCCATTATTTCGAAAGTTGCAGCACGCGCAAAGTCTCTAATCTTTGCATATGCAGTGTAATTTGTATGTTCGACAACAAATAAAATCCGACCCATCTCATCATATATTTAATCATTTAATTCATCCATATCATTCCAGTTATAGTGTATCACAAAAATTGACGTTTGTTGAATGAAGACATGATAGAAAGTCATCTCAAAGTTATAAGCACCTTAAAATGAATGTAAGTAATGAATTTTTGTAAAACATTTTCACAATCGTGAGCAGCTTTAATCAGTTAATTGATAAGATATCATCCATGCTTTCAATTTCGATAATCATCACCAATGGTTTTCTCAAAAAATAGATCTTTTAATTTACTTGATTAAAAATGAATTCATAAAGTACGATTCTTCATTAGCAATACGGCGCGGCGCATTCATATCGCTTGAATTCAATTTTCATCTGTGTTTCCCAGAGTCAACACGTCTTAAAATTTATGGTTTGAATCGTTTGAAAATTTCTGGAAATTTGAGTCACCTCAAAGTAGTGGGTGTCTTACCACCCTGCTTAAAGGCTTCAAAGTTTAATTCGATAACGATGAACACGTTGAGCTCACTTCATTTAGTGGAATCGCTCACAAAAATTCAAACCATTGTGGTGATTCATGAAGAATATTTCAAATGACTGATAATTTCAACAATTCCAGATCATATTTGTGTATGTCGTTCGAGAAAATCAAATCAAAAAGAAGAATTTTCGCTCACGCTGATATGGGAAATTTCACTAAAGAAGACTTCAACACTGTTTTTATCAAGCAACCAACTGGAAAACAATCGCAGAATCCTGCTAAGAAATTGAAAAATACCGCAAATGCACCACGCCGTCAGCACCATCACCAGCATCTTCATCGACATAGAACGAAACGTAAACAATGTGGTCAGTCCGCTCACTTGCTGCTAACTGATAATTCAAAGATGCACGAACGTATCATTTTGATTGATTGTCAACAATACTTCTTCTGGTGATTACACTGCTTCCGTTCGAAAAGTTTCGGATTATATTAGCAATCTGCCGTTTTTTGTTAACTTTCTCATTATTATTTTTTAACTGATGCGCATTAATAAGGTAAAGCGATAATTCATTGATAACCTCCTGAATGCTAGTAGCACTGGCTATTTTGATTCAGGTGTTTGAAGAGCGCAAAAAGGAGAAGGAAAAAAAGAAAGTTCGGTAAGGTCTATCATTCCAGCTGGACAGGAGACAACGGCATGCAATGTTGAAAATGGGAATTAAAAAATGAATAGCAGCTAAAACTATCAATCAGTTGACTAATGCTATGCTAAATGTAATGAACTCAGTGGAATAACTGACTTCTCAATTTTTATAGGACTAGTGGTTGAGTTTTTCGTTGGTTTGATTTTGAACGTGGGTGGATGTGCTTTAGGAATTTGGAGAGCCGAAATGGATCACGGTTCGTTACAGGCTGAAGTCGATGAACGCCTCTTGAGTCATGGTTATTGTATTTGAAAAAATTGTTTTAAAAATTTTTGACTTTTTTGTTTTTTAACAAAGAATTTGATCACACACTACCGACAGTGAAAATCGAACTGACTGACTTAATAATTTCGACAGAAAGAAATGTCGTGCTAATGTCGTGACCAGTCATTTTTTGAGGGTTCTTTTGTCAAATCGATCGCATATTTCAAACACTCGTGGTACCAGCTGATGATGAATGTTGATAATTTAGGATTGATCAATATGACAAAACATGGCGAAATATTTCAACAATCGCATCCATCAAGTATTTTGATGACACTCGGCACTATGCTTGGAAGGCTGTGTAATGTTGTAGGAACCGTTAAAATGTATAAGGTGATGATCATATTGTCGGTTGTAGTGGTAGCGAAAATTATTGACTGATACTTTTAACTGATAGATGTTTTCATTACTTCAAATATACCTGTACTGAATAAGTTTAATGAAATTCAAATGTAAGTCAGTTGCGAAATTTGTGGCTCGTCATCGTCGTGCACAGCTTCGTCAAACAGCTGAAAAGTTGGGTGGCGCAGAAGCAGATGCGGACTGGAATGAAGCGCTCATTGAATGTTGCCAACTCTTTGTTTAACAAATCTGTGATCTCAGAGGTTCAGTTCTTCATTCCTCTTCAACCCAACGAACCGACTGTTGTTTTTACAGTTGTATGATAATTTGTTAGTCATGCAGTGAAAGAGAGGAATGAGTGAAATTTGTGAGCATTTTCAAGAGAATTCAGAACAAAATATTGCTATGAAATGCATG